CCCCCGAATCAATACAGGTGAGAGCAACCCGTTGCTTGGGGGATCTTCGACTTAAGGACATCTCCAATATGAACTAACGAGACAATTTCGGAAACAAAGGTGCGGAATCACTCCAAAGCTTGAAAAGAGTCGACATGTGCCAACACGCTCCAAGACGTTTCTCCAAAATGTATCTCTGCACAGTCTGGGGGGGGAACCTGCATCTTTCGCCCACCTTCCCCCCAAAAAGCCGCCCACCTTCCCCCCATTTGAGCAGATCAGAATGGGACCAAGATGGACCAAGGAACAGCTCAGATGCGGAGATCGCTCAAATGTCCAAAGACCTGCGAGCACAGTGGAAGGCGAGCCCGGGCCCGGGCGGACCCCCTCGTTTGGGGGGTATGGTTGGGGCACCAAACCCTCCAAAACCTGTGATTGCTTTTAAGGGTCGATGTTTTTTGAGACATGCAGCCGCCATCACAAATGTGGTGGTGGCATGGATTTATTGCAGTCGATTTGAATGATATGTGTGTGTGTGTGAGAGCACCATTTGCGACGCTCTCTTCAGGAAGACTGGCTGCTGAGAGAACAGGCCAGGTGCAGTTGGGGTCGACGCTGATCATGCTAGGCTCTTCAGCATAAGCAGGGTCGGCACTGCTTCGCAATGCTCAGAAAAGCAGTTGTAGATGGTCTTAATTAATCCCTTTGAATCTGTAACAAGAATTCCTGGAATGGGTTTTGGCACCCTAGTCGTACATTTATTCGGGCTTGACAAGAAAACCCCTGTCTCCGACGATCTTTGGAACAACACTTGACCTACCATGAGTTTTCCAGTAATTTCTTGGAGGCCATCGCTAGTAGGGCGAGGGTGGAGGCCATCGCTAGTAGGTTGGAGGTCGGCAAAAAGAAAGAAGACTATTTGTCTTAAAGACTGGAGGCTGTGAAGGGCTTTGCGGAGCGTGGTGGCCTCGACAAGCGGCAGAGCCGCGAAATGGAGGAGGCCCGGGACCTGGGGCCAAAGAGGCGGTTTCATGGCGCGCGCTGGCTCCGCTGGTCCTTGTGGCGGAGAACCAGGAAGCAAGATCCAGCAACAGGATCTAGGGCTCAAGGTTGAGGTTGATAGGAATTCGATTCTATATGTACCACCAATGAGCGTGTCCATGTGTGTGTGTGTGTCCAGCCCTGTCTCAAAGGGTTCTTTCAACCAATTTCCAGCAGGGGCGTCAGGCTCGACACATCTACCTGACGCAACGAAGCTATGATGTGTCGAGGGAAGTGAGAGCTGATCACTCTCATGTACCTGCGGAGTTTTCCACACGCTGTCACCCTAATCTTCCACGTTTTGATTCATGGTCCTTCATGATCCTTTCCCCTAAACCTTTTTCTCCACGCTGAGTTCACCGAGGCCGAGTTCTGCAGTCATGCATCAAATTTTGTTCAACAATACAATTGCGCCGACTCTTTCACCTTTCCGTTCCATCACCATTTCCCTGGAAATTGAGTTAACTGAAAACCAATGTCGAAGTGTGAGCCGCTCAGCCGTCCCACATGGGTGCTGGGTGTGATCCTCCGCAAGGAGGCGCCGTACTCATTCCGGAATTCATTTCACTGGCTCGTCGTTTCCTTCCTTGACTTTCCTCACTGCCCCTTTCCACCCTGAATTCACTGCTCATACAGCCGTCGGGCTAAAAAACGAATTTGATAGCCGCCGGGCTTCAAAACGGCTTTCACCACCACTTGAGGCAGGTCTCCCGACCACCCCCCCCACTGTGTTCTACTCCCTACCTAATTAGGGTAACATAGGGAAATGGTACTCGACACACTTGTGTGTCGGTGCCTTTCCCTCTGTTGTCCCTTTTCTAGTCTACTCTACCCGGGCGGTGTAAGACAAAAGTCCCGCTCCCTAACTAGTGCACGTAATTCTTTTCGTCTAAGTATTCAGTAATCCTAGAGTGCTAGGTATTCAAACACACACACACACACACGTACACACACATGGACACACATCCCCTCCCTGCCCCCCCTTTTCCTTCTTGCGCTTTTCGTCGTTTGTTGGGCTTTCTCTCAGGCTATTTAGGTAGCTCTTGAGGCTCGTTTCCCTACCCCAGTCAAGTGCTAAGTATTCATTTTTCATTTTCTACACCTATCTTTCTCTCTTGCCCTCTTAGCGCTGCTCTTTCTGTCTTTCTTTCTTTCGCTTCTAAGGCTTTTTAGGTTTCTATTCAGGTTTCTCACGCGAGCGCCGCCAAGCGGCACCGTGTGTGTGTCCAGCCCTGTCTCAAAGGGTTCTTTCAACCAATTTCCAGCAGGGGCGTCAGGCTCGACACATCTACCTGACGCAACGAAGCTATGATGTGTCGAGGGAAGTGAGAGCTGATCACTCTCATGTACCTGCGGAGTTTTCCACACGCTGTCACCCTAATCTTCCACGTTTTGATTCATGGTCCTTCATGATCCTTTCCCCTAAACCTTTTTCTCCACGCTGAGTTCACCGAGGCCGAGTTCTGCAGTCATGCATCAAATTTTGTTCAACAATACAATTGCGCCGACTCTTTCACCTTTCCGTTCCATCACCATTTCCCTGGAAATTGAGTTAACTGAAAGCCAATGTCGAAGTGTGTGTGTTCTGATTCAAGGTGTTTTTCTTTTTCATCGAAATACGTGATCATCGTCCTTCGCTTCTCCGGGTTCAAAACCTTCAAAAACCAGGTTCAAATACTGTAGATAGACTCTTTGAGAGCTCTGTTCCTTTGTTTAATTTGCAGTGTTTTTTCTTGACACATTTTTTGATGTCCTTTTCACTTAAGTGTTCTGTAGTTGTTTTTGGAAGGCACCAGGCCCGAAAGTCAGAAAACTCCGTGTTCTGCGCCGCGGCGTGTTCTGCGCCGCGCTGGCTGCGCCAAGCCTGCCAGGCATTGTTCAACTCTTGCTGTCCACTGGGCTTTCTGGATGGTGAGGAGAAAAAGGTCTACACCAGACAGTACAAGAGGCAGGTTTTTTCTTTCTCGCGGACGAAGTGATCCTGTGCACCCAGTGATCCTTTTACGGCTGAGCAGTAGGCTTTAAAATGGCTCATGGCTCCGCGTTGGTCAAACACACCCTCCACGAATCGGTGTCCGGATTTGGACAAAGGATGAGAAAGGGACCGCTGGCACCATGAATTCTATTCTTTTCACCTTCGAGTTTCAAGCACCACACGTGGATACCTGGGTTTTCACATTGATTGGAGGGGTGATTGCTCACCAATGGCTGCATGAAGAGGTGTGTGGTTTAGATGGGTTGCATCCACCAGCCGTGGAGGCCTGCTTCGTGTATGTGCTGCCTGGGTCTTCTCCGTTCCGGTACGCCTCAGGCTTTGCACGCTGCTGAGCGCCAGTGGCCCCGGGAGCCTGGCGAAACGCCTCAAATCGCAAGAACTCATGGCGTGTCAGGCGCATCTGAACAGCCGTCCCGGTTGGGTGGATGTTGCCGTATAGATGCAGGTGAGTCAGTGCTTGAATTCGATCTACCTGACATTCATTTGGGCTTAGCACAGTACTTGTAAGGTCAAGAGGCCCAAACGCGCCACCATGCGCCACTTAAACTCATCCACTTTTCCTAACTGCTGACAACCTTTTGCAAAGTACTTAAGCCCGAAGTTCCTTCTTCCTTGCCATTCCTTGCCATCGACACTTTGACCACACAGGAGTAACAATGGAGTAAACATGTTGGACATTCAAGATGTGGTTCGCCCAACATGAAGGGCTCTAGCAATGATTGATTCTCGGAATTGGGGAGCCACACCCATACATGGTGATCGCTTCACTTCATATTCCATATTCCATATGTTTTACCATGGATATGGACCCCTGACTCGCTCCCACCCGGTTGGACCGGACCGGAACTCCTCTCCGGGCCTCGTTTCGCTGAACCCACGAACCCGAGGTGCCCGGCATGTCCGACGAGGAGCTCCGCAGCCCGGAGCAGCAACAGCAGCTGGTGGCGGCACGCAGCGAAGGGCTGCAGGTGCGGAGAGCGAAGAGGGGGGGGGGGATTGGCCCACCATGGTCGGAGATTTTGTAAGGTGAGAGGTGTGAGCGGATCTGGAAGAGCTGTTCGTATTGGGGGCGATTCGCGCGGTTCCAAAGGATCAGAATGTTTGGAGGTTTTGGGCCTGCCATTTTGTGGTTGTCAGGGCTGCCACCATCGCTCGATATCGATGAACACCATGTTTGGGTGGTAGTTATCGTGTTAGAACTCATGATCCGCCCAAGTCCCTCAAGGACATTGTGCACGGAGACTAACCATGACCTTGCCCAATCTATGCACTCATGCAATCCACTCGACGTCTCAAAACACATTCGCCTTGAACGAGTGTCCAGACAGAGTGTGATGACCAGCCCAACACCCGCTGATGATCCGCCGAACTTCAACCCACCCAGCCCAAACCCACAGCATCCTCCAGTGTCCTAGTTGTCACTTGAGGTAGGGAAACCAGGTGTTTTTCCAGCCCAGTTCTTCACCTGAAGCCGTTTTTGATGGTTTTTGATCGTTTTTGCCATTTTTGCACCACCTGGTTACCGATGTGGCTCCACCATCTCTCCATGTCTCGACCCTCAGGGGGCCTTGTTGATGCGCTCGGACACCGCCTTCGCCGCGACCGAGGACCGGGCCGCGGTTCCCGACACCGCTCCGAGTCCGGTCGACACCGCTCCGTCCGACGTGTGGGGCCGAAAGACACCATGGCGCCCAATGGTTGCAGCTGCTATATGTAATCTTGTTTTATAGACTTCTATTTCCGAACAGGTTGGTTCTTCAGAGTGTGTGTGTTTTTTTCCTGGGCGTCCTGGGGGGGGGTCCTTTTTTGACACGCCGACACGGACACAACCAAACACTGACCACAGATACTCACACTCTGGTCGAATCTCAAGTTAGACTTCGATATATAGACCTCACAAGAGAAATTTATGCCAAATGAGTCCTTTACTTAACATGATGCCGCGGCAGCGGCATCAGTTGCCATTCTCGCTGTGTTTCCTGCAAAACGGCCTCAGCAGTAGCAGTGCCATCCCGGTGAGGACTACATGTGCGGGAAGTGTAGCTCCCAGAACTGCAGCCGCCAAGAGGTCCAGACGGGCTGGCACAATGACCACCAAGATGCGCCACCTGGCTGTGTTGCTGCGACGCGAGCCTCGCGGATTTCCACGGGGACAACGCAACGCCTCGCACTTCCGGTTGGAGTTCAGGTTGAGGTTTGGTGTTCCGTCCTGGGTCCTCCTGGCTTCATACAGTTGAATCATTTGTTGCTGCAATGGGGGTTTGGGTCCTCCTAATAATTAAGAAGAACCGGCGCCACCAAACTCGAGAAAGGAGGGAAGCGAACTTGAGAACGGAAGTGCGCACACAGTGAGGGGCTACTAGCAAATATCATTTGTTATTCCTAGTAGGGCGTTGTTGTTATGACATCTCATTTTGTGAACTGCTCCTGTAACTATCATGGGTGAATATGGTTGAATGGGCTTCAGGGCAGCTACCTTACTTGCAGAACTCTGTGCTTTGCTCAGGACTCTCTTCGTTCATTGCCTTGATTGCTCCTGGATTGGCATTGACGCGTACGCTGACGTTACTTTCTCGAGAAGATGGTTGATCTATAATGTAGATGGCATATGCGGACACGTGAAAGCGCCCCACGCTTATTGAGGTGAGACACATTCTGAGTTCACAAACATTCATCCCAGATCATAGACTTGTTTGTTTCACCCGAGGAGCCTACAGTAGAATGATTACTATTGGCTAGTAGTATAGCAGATTCCCCCATTGGTGACTCTTTCGTCTTCATTCCTCAAGATGAATTTGTTTCCAGACTGGGAACAAGTTTTTTACTCGTGTAACATAGATGTGCGGTTAACCCCGAAAAAGACCAGACCATCCTCTTTTGGAAGTCCCTTATTCTTGAAGCTTCAGTATGAGCCATGTCAAGAGACCCAAAGACGACTATAGACAGGCCATGTGAGGACCTCACCCCGGCTGGAAGTCTGGGATTGATTGAAGACGGACCTACTGCTGCACATGGGGATCCCATTCTTGTCAATCAATATCATCAGCTCATGTAGAGCCAGTTCGCAAAAGCTGCCTGAATCACCAAATTCAGTTTGAATTCAAGAAACGTTTGACTCGTCACACATTGCCCAGCTCATGGCCAGTACTGAAGCGCTTTTTTCGGTTGGCGCTTCAGGCGGGCATCGCTGGAAGGAGTCCGACGATCATGGCTTAGCGAGCTGAGCGAGCTCTGCGGTTGAGCGAAAGCCCGGAAGCTTCGGGTCACCATACTTCCTGAGAGCAATGGCCTAATGGCATTCTAACCTAATAGCAATGGCCTCCAGCCTAGAATTGATGGCCTCCAACCTAGAAGCAATGGCCTCCAGCCTCAATAGCGATGGCCTCCTATGTACATAGCAAAAGAAGAGGAGGTCTTGGTTGCCGATGGTGTTTGAGGAAAAGACCGGTCGATGTGACCCTGAACCATGTGACTGGTGAACGAAGGTCTGTAGCTATCCTTGTAGATCTTGGTAGTGAGAGCTGAGCGAAACATGAGCAACCAACTGGAGGACGAACGGGACCAACGGCAGGCGAGCCAAGTCCTCTCCTGTCTCAGTCTCTCTCAGTCTCCGACGGCGGCTGACTTGATGCACAAGTCAGACTCGGACTCTGAAACGTCTGCCGAGTCATTCGGAACATGTCCCGAAGTGAAGCATGTTCGTTTCTGACTCGGATGGGGGATGTATGGGGTTTCTACCGCCTGGGCGCGTCCAGACTCATCGAGGATCTGAAAAAAGGCACTCCATGAATACCTCTGTTTTGTGGAACCAGGTTCCTCCAGGTTCCTGTGGATGAAAGAAATGATCAACAAGAAGTACCTGGATAAACTTTACGGCAGCAGCACTCGTGTCGGACTCTTTTGGATCAGGTTCCTGTGCTTGAGCTCGGCGGACATGGGCCGTGTCACAAGGGTGCCTGGCCCCTTAAACTGCAAAGTCTAGGATTGAAAGCTCTGAGAACGCTATTATGCGCTGTCTCCCTAGACAACCCAGAGCTGGAGGCATAGTCTTGACAACTTCTGGCAAACAACGCGAAGCTGATGTCTGTATATGTCTGTGACGTTTCTGCTCGAGGCCCTCTTTAGGGTCAGAACTGGAAGTTGATTCGAAGCCTTTTTCCTCGACGGCCGTTCGACGGCCCGACTCGAGAGAGTGGCTGGGCCGAGAGTGGCTGGACCGGGGGCCGTGGGATCGGGGGGCCGGAGTGTGTTGGGTGGCCGATCCTCGCGCCATCTCATTCAATGCTAGGACTAGGAGGTGCCCATCCATTGCTGCAGTTTCTAGGGTCTTGTATGATTAGACCAGTCTAAGACACAATGCAGAACAGTAGAGATCTGGATGACTTAGCAGAGCTGGACGTAAATGAGGCTTGCTTGGGGTCCAGGGTCTCATTCTTCTACAGTGCAAAGAGCACTGACTGTTGCTTAAGATTGACGACATTCAAGTGACATCGATTTCGTCATGCATTTCTTTGGCCTCTGCAGTTTGGGTGAACGATAAGGTGAACAGATGCAGAAGGGAGGAGAGGCCACCGGCGCTGGATGGGCTGAGGACTTCATGGACTTCATCTTCGAAAGGAAAAAAGACAGCAACAAGACCTCCAGCGCGGCCGCAACAAGACCTCCAGCACGACCCCTTCCTTTTTGTTGCAGAGCAAAATGCAAAGAACTGCCAGTCAACATGTCAACAAGACCTCCATTGATGCCCCGTCCTCCCTTAAACCCATGGCTTCGATGCCACGGATGCTACGGACCCGGTCCGGACAGGTCCAGCAGTTCGCCTCGGCGCCACAAGCGGTGGGATCGAGGAACAAGTGCCGATGGAAGGGGTGGAACAAGGGCTCTTTTTCGTGGGAGGAGCACCGGTGGGATGGAATACAGTACACCAGTTTTTTTGTTCAAGATCAGATTGTAAATATGTATGATATGTATGATGGTATGATTTATACATTTCAATGAGAATTCTAATCCATTGTTGATCTCTTCAGGTCATTGGATGACCTGCAAGTTTCCGTAGAATGTCCAGTTTGGTTTGCTTGGATCAGCCGGAACTTCCGGATTGGTTTCTACGGTGAAGGATCACTCAATTCTGCCATTTGTTTGACTATAGTGATCGGGGGTTGAAGCATCAGTCATCAGGAAGAAGGCCAAGGTGCTTCAATAGGGAAGATCTGAAGTTCTCATCAATTGATTCGATCAAGGCAATCCAATGTGCCAACTAGACGACTCCTGACAGATTCTGGACTACAAGATCCTGGAAGAGTGAATTCCTCTATTCACTCTATTTTCATTCCAAATGATGTTTGCTTGCCAACCACCAAGTGAACCTCTTCAACACAGGGCCCATGGCAACGGTTTCTGAAACCTCTGGAGCATTGGCTTCTCCTAGGCTACCCGCGATGTCCCCGCTGTGTCGATTCGCTTGTTGGATGAGGTACAGAGATCCCAATGACACGAAGGGCCATGGGAACATCATGTGACCTGCCTGGGGGCCGCCGATTTGGGCCGCAGCGGCCGGGTTTCTTTCTTTCTTTCTTTCTTTCTCTCTCTCTCTCTATCTCTGCCTGCGAGATCTGAGCTTTTCGGGACAGTTTGCAATGGTCAAAGGCAGTTCCGTCACCTTGATTTGCTGGGTCAAAAGGTGTGGGCCGACCCTGGCTTTGGCAACTTGAACCCTTTCTAGGCAAAGACTGGAACCTTGCTGGAACAGCACATGAAGGCAGTCACGACTTGGATCAGGTTCAAATCGGGACAAAGAGATATGGCTTTTGGGAGCTGGCACCAGATGCCACGCTTGACCTACCTGGTGGACTGATCGAGCTCCACGACTTCGAGCTCCCAGCTCCCCGGATCCGCGACGCGCCCCTCTCCGATGTGCGAGGTATGACCGCCGCGTGGTGAGGGGCAACACCTACGCAGCCGTGGTTCAACCTGAAGAGACGGTGGACGTCGCCTCACCTCGACTTAGTCGAGACGACCTCTCTCGTCGAGTCGGCGCGAGTACGACGTCGACGTCGACGTTTTTCCGTCGACGTCGACGGGTTGGGTCGGAATGGCGCATGGCGAGCCATGGAGAGTGAGTGAGACGCACGAGTGACTAGACGAAAAAGACCAGCAACAGTTTCAGGTGAGATCATGAACATGTTTCGAAGGTTTGGCTCTTTGAGGTTGATGAGTTGGAGGATTCTTTGGGGCTGCCCAACCTCGGCTCAAGAAAGTTGGTTTCAAAGACACCCAGCACATTCCGAACTAGGTCCTAGCATATCTCGCCTCGTGGATTCACCTACTGGTGGGTACCTGGGTAACCAGTATTCCACAGACTAGAGTTCTATAGAAGTCTTGAGCTGGACAAGGTCGTTGCCATAAATGGTGGTATATAACCTACAGGCAGAACAAAGTTGTTTTTTTTCCTTCTTTTTTTGCACTCACAGAATTGGCAGTCGCTGTCAATTAAGGCCTCCAGTAGACTCCCCACAAAGCCACAAAGCCATATAAAACGTGCCCAACTGCGCGGTGGAGGAGGGGGTGCCGCGTGCCAGGTGCAAAAGCAGCGGGATGCACAGCGTCGCAGACTGCGTGCGGGTGCCGAGGATCAGCCGCCGCCGAGGTCCTTCAGCTGGGTGAAACCTGGCTGGTTCGGCCCAGGTTTGGGGTGCTTCACACCCGGACACCCAGAATCACCTCTAAGATCCTCAAACAGGGAGTCTAAATTCAAAGAACCTTTTGTTCTGGGATCTTTGTCCCAAACCGAAGGATGGACACCCCTGCTTTCGAACACGTTCCTCGGAAGGATCAATCCGACGTTTTTGTCACGAATGCCATGGGTCGAGAAACCAGTGAAAACGGTTGACTTCTGTAAGTGTCATACAGCCTTCCTGATGCCCCACACGAAGCAGTTTTCGAGCAAGCTTCAAGGCTGCGCAACAAGCCAAAAAATCCTTGTGCCAACAGGATTTCATTCAAATGTTCATTATGCAGATAAGAGAGTGAGATCGAGTTGGCCATATCTTCACACCAAGGACTTGCAGTTCTTGTTTTGTCCCCTCATTTCTTGTGGCGACTGGAATTCCTTCAAGCTCTGCCCCATCGTGTTGGACAGCGCCTCAGAACCGCCATTCTCCGCTGCCCTGGGCTGAGGTGCAAACCAAACCAAGAAGCGCTCCGGTACGCCAGAGGCGGTGCCCGGCCATGCCCTCAACCCCGCGACCGGAGGAAACATGTGAAGCGTCGAAAAACGCGAGGCATCCACCGCGCGGCGCGGCGCTGGCGCGCTGGGACTGAGGCCGGAAGCACATGGATATTCAGACCGACACGTGACTTCCTCGGGCATGTGACAACTTGGATGAGTTGAAGAGTTCTCAGAGTGGTGTCCGTGGCAAGTAGGCAGGTGTGATTTCTTCCATTTTAGTCTAAGTCTAAGTCAGATCAATCACTTCGGCGAGATTGGTGAAATTCGCTTGGAAGCCACTCCTATTTGGAGCCAGGATTTGGTCGGAGAGTCCGACCATGCTTGGAAGCCTCCTTTTCGGTTGGTTGGCGGTCCAGATGCAGGACATCTGAAAACAGTCGGTCCCTTTGTGTGAAACGATCGGTGCAATATGAACTCAGATGTCCAGCAGCAGTACCGGAGTGGATTCCCCTGAATCATTCCTGAATTAAGATGTTCATTCCATTCTAATTCATTTTAAAGATGTTCATTCCTGAATCACTGTCAGAACTCGGAGTAGATCTGGTAGATTCCCTCGGGCCTACCTGCTACGTTTAGGGCTTCACGGCTTTAGGAACTTCACGGGGCTGATCCTTATTTTGTAAATGAATGATCAAGAATGAATCGAACATTACAGACCACGATTATTTAAATGAATTATAGACTATAGACAAATCATGACAAATCTATATCTGCCCCCTTCTGCAGGGTGAGGGGAGGGCAGGCAGCACCATGGCGCATGGCAGAGCGGCATCCATTGGCTGTCCTTTATTGGGAAGCTCATCCTGAGGTACTTGGAGAAGCTCACCGATCGCATCGTCGAGTTCGAGGTGTGAGCGACTGGATGGATGGGAGAGGATGGGAGAAGCAGCTGTTGCGACCATTCTGGTCGTTCTTTTTTTTTGGCTGAGAAGATGAGTCTAAGGAAGAAGAAATGAGATCTGCAAGTTGACCAAACTTGAATCAATGGAGCTTTCAAGATGTCAGGGATGGAAGAGTGGTAAAGAGGTCGAAAGCTTGGGGAACATCCTTTTCAAGCACTGAAAAAGGATAGCATAGTCAACCACTCAGACACGGAACCAGCTATATAAAGATAGCGGATACACTCCCTCAAAGGAAAGCTAGTCCCTGTGAGAAGGATTTGGAAGACTACCTTCCACACAAAAACTATCAAACATCGACATTCATGAATGACTCTTTGTGGCCAAGTTG